ACAAATGTAGTTTCCAGGTTATGAATAGTGGCATAGTCTATTACATTAAGTAGCCTGCGTGTATTGTTGGTGGAGTGCCTGCCCTTAATAAATCCTGTTTGGTCGGAGTGTATTATACCAGGAGTGACCTTCTCTAGCCGCCTTGCTAGGGTTTAGAAGATGATTTTAAGATCTGCATTAATAAGTGATATTGGGCGATAACTGGATGGGAGTGTGGGGTCTTTGTCTGGTTTAAGGAGCAGGCTGATATTAGCAGAGTTCATTGTTGGAGGCAACATGCAAGTACCCCTAATTTGCATAAACATCCTATAGAATGTGGCACAAGTATTTCTCAGAATTCCTTGTAGAATTCAGCTGGAAAACCGTCTGGCCCAGGGGCTTTATTATTCAACATATGTAAGAGAGCTTCCTGGAGTTCAGCCATTGAAACAGGTGAATCCAGAGCCCTGATCTGTTCATCATCTAACCTTGGCAAATCTGTATTGTTCAGAAATGCATGTTGGAGCTAGATGGATCAATTTGTGATGTATATAAGGTTTTATAAAAATCTCTAAATGCATTGTTGATTTCTTCTGGGTTATGAGTCAGATTCCCAGCTGAGCCCTTTAAGGAGGAAATTGTTATTTTTTCTTTATTCAATTTCAATTGGTTGGCTAAGAATCTGCTGGATTTGTTGCCATGTTCAAAGTTCTCCAAGCGTAGTCTTTGCAACTGAAATTGGGTCTTTTTATCAATAATTTCATTTAATTCAAGTTTTGATTTTCTCAGATCATTCAGCATGTGTTCCTGTGGGGAGGCAGAAAGGGCAGTTTCTAATGTTTTAATTTTTTGTTCTAGGTCTAATTCACGAGATCTTTCTTTTTTTTTTGTATGATGAATAGGAGATTATTTTACCTCTCATGACTGCTTTTGCTGCCTCCCAAAGAAGACATGGCGACCAGTATTGTTAGCTAAGCTAATTGTTCAGAGCAGTGGCAGCAACCTGGAAGTAACGTCTCGGTTATTTATGCTGGGGATGCTGGCGACATGTCCCCATCACTTTTTGAAAGCGTTTGTTAAAAATGCTTTGAAAAATAGCCTGCAAAATGAAATGGTAAAGAACCAATGAAAGTGCTTTGAGAAGGGTTTTATTTGCACTTAATTATTTAATTAATTAATTAATTTTTTAAGAGTAAACAAGCTACTGATTATAAAATGACCCCAAAACATGCAGCACCAGTCAGTAACTTTAACCCCCTGAGGTCGGTTGACGCGGGTGCGCGTCACCTCTGTGTTGACTAAATGTTTCTATTAATATCTCCGCGATCATGCAGCACACAGAAAAGGTTCAGATATTGCCTTAATCGAGTGATTATCGGCTTCAAAGTCCTTATTCTCGCGAGATCGTACGTGACTCACACAGCGAGCTAGGGGAAAGATAAGATGGCCTTGCGTAATTGGTGAATTATGTTTCCACAAGAGATTTGAAGAATTTCAACTTTAGAGCCACATTATCTCTCTCTCTTTACACAATCTTGGACAAGTGGTCGACTCGTTATAAAGAGAGCTGGGGGTTTTCTGCACATTTTGATATAAAACACATGGTATCATGTTATGCTATTGCCTTTAAAAGGTGAAATTAAGAAGATATGTAAAATCGAAGAAAAAGTGAAAAAATGCCCTTAGACCTCAGAAGGTTAACAACTTTTTGTCAGTTTCTTTTTGGCCAAATTTTCTGTTCTCTCCATGTGAAGATGACAAAAGAGGAGGAAAGACTAAATCATGCCTGCATGTGTGCTAATTCAGCAGGGAAGATGGTACATGAGAAAAGTTGATATACAGAGAAACATGTGAAAGCAACACAGAATGCTGCAGAGAGCTGCACTGCATTAGATTCTGTAATATTTTTAGATTTTGAATAGTCACCTGCCACCTTAATTTGGTGTTTCCCTTCCACCATAAATTGATGTAGGAAAGGCAGAACAAAAAATTCACCAGAATGCAGGAAATTCAGTGTTTTATGCTCAAAATTTTCTGGAGGATAATCCCCAAATACTCCAACTCATATTTCAGCATTGATGATTTTGATAAAATAGTGTTAAATTATCGTCACATCTTGTTCTCGTGTATCGTCACACCCCTAATCTGAGCCCTTATGTCCCCAATAAAATACAATACATAAAAGGATGCCTTTGTGTGTTGGTATCTTTCTCTTGTGGCAGTACACAAATGCACATTATGTATACAACATGTAAGCTTAAAAACAGACCCCTCTTACACTGTGTCTGTGCGTTTGTCTGCTTGCGTATCTTTCTCACCTTTTGTAATCTTGAACAGTTTGCATGCCTGTGTGTGAGCTTCAGTCTGCAAAGAGTTGCATGTATTGTTTGTCTAACATCACTGTTAACACTGACTGGTAAGACACAGTGATGACTTATCTGAATGTTATGACTAGCGGCGTCCCGTCGTCCTGAGGACGACAGAAAATGTGTTTGGGACGAAGAGAAATATTCTGTAGGATGAAAGGGATTGTGTAGACCTATGTGTTTATTTATTACAATCACTTAGCAAATGACTAACTGAACCAACTGAGCGCTGACTACAACGGAGGCCGTCTTCTCACGCCGTTACTACTCTTCTCTCAGTCACAAACGGCATTCTGACCTCTCAATAGTAGCCACCAATCAATCTTCTCACGCAGTGAAAAACAAATTTATAATGTGATAACGTTGACTAGTGGCGAGAATCATCTCCACCCAGCTAGTGCAACTTGGCAGACACAGCCAGCAGACTCGCTGGTAGAGTTTTGCATTATTAACATCTAAAACCTGAAGCACAATCTGGCTGTGTTTGGGGCTGTGAGCTGCACTTTATCGGAGCTGCAGAAGTTAACATGAGGATTTGCGCTGAGACGTCTGCCTGATTGGCAGTGTTGGTTTCAGTTTCTACCTCCAACGAAGTGCAGTGCACTTGTTTCAGTCAGTACAGTCTGAAGGGGAGCACAGCAGAGTATAGGTCTGGTAGACTTTTTAAAAATATTATGAATTCTCATTAAATAATGATGTTAGTCTCCATAATATTATGATTTTCTTCTGGACATATGAGAACAAAGATGTGAGATTCTGAATGTGCAGAAAGTTTTGAACATGAGCAGAAAACCTGCTGAAACAAAGTCCAGGCGTTTATAACTGAATTGAAATTAAATAATTTATCATCGAGGTAAAGAGGTGCCCCAAAAAATAACTTTTCAGTTTTGTTCATAAATCTTTTTTTTTGAATCAAGCAAAATAAATATTATTTATTTTATCAGTTTATAATAATTTATTATGTCACTAACAGCTATAAATATGGTGGCTCCCAGGGCTCAGTGAGGAATATTTTTTTTGAGGACTATTTTGCGTTACCTCGCAATACTTTTGCATTCCCTCGCAATATGTTTTGCGTTCCCTCGCAATACTTTTGCATTACCTCGCAATATGTTTTATGACTTTTGACAGTAAAATGTCTTCAGCAGCATCACCTTGTTAGCTGAGTTTGGCTGTTGGCTCACTTTGCATTTTGATTATTGATAAATAAAATCTATTAACATGTCTACTATAGAAAGCATTCTTACTTTACCACATTTTTTCATACCAAAACCTTTGCACAGTACTCTGTGTGTGTGTGCGTATGTACACTACCGTTCAAATGTTTGGGGTCACCCAAACAATTTCATGTTTTCCATGAAAACTCACAATTTTATTCATCAAATGAGTTGCAAAATGAGTAGAAAATATAGTCACGGTTAGAAATACAGAATACAGATTTTTATTTGAAATAATAATTTTGTCCTTCAAACTTTGACTTTCGTGAAAGAATCCTCCATTTGCAGCAATTAGTGCCTTGCAGACCTTTGGCATTCTAGCTGTCAGTTTGTTGAGGTAATCTGAAGAAATTTCACCCCACGCTTCCTGAAGCACCTCCCACGTTTGATTGGCTTGATGGGCTTATGTACCATACAGTCAAGCTTCTCCCACAACAGCTCAATAGGTTTGAGATCTGCGCTGGCCACTCCATTACAGACAGAATACCAGCTGACTGTTTCTTCCCTAAATAGTTCTTGCATAATTTGGAGGTGTGCTTTGGGTCATTGTCCTGCTGTAGAAGGAAATTGGCCCAAAGGGTATGGCATGGAGTTGCAAAATGGAGTGATAGCCTTCCTTATTCAAAATCCCTTATATCTTGTTCAAATCTCCCACTTTACCAGCACCAAAGCAGCCCCAGACCATCAAATTACCTCCACCATGCTTGACAGATGGCTTCAGGCACTCCTCCAGCATCTGTTCACTTGTTCTGCATCTCACAAATGTTCTTCTGTGTGATCCAAACACCTCAAACTTAGATTCGTCTGTCCATAACACTTTTTTCTATGTCTGTGTTCTTTTGCCCATCTTAATCTGTTCATTTTATTGGCCAGTCTCAGATATGGCTTTTTCTTTGCCACTGTGCCTAGAAGGCCAGCATCCCGGATTCGCCTCTTTACTGTGGACGTTGAGACTGGTGTTTTGCGGGTAGACTCTAGTGTACTTGTCCTCTTGCTTGTCCTCGCATGGAATAGCTGTCATTTCTCAGAACAAGAATAGACAGTCAAGTTTCAGATGAAAGTTCTCTTTTTCTGGCCATTTAGAGAGTATAATCGAACCCACAAATGCTGATGCTCCAGATATTCAACTAGCTCAAAGGAAGGTCATTTACCACATTAATAATGTCTAGACTGTATTTCTGATTAATTTAATGTTATCTTCATTGAAGAAAAAAATTATTTTCTTTCAAAATGTACTGTATATGTATATTTAATAACTTTACAGTGACATTAATGCAGTTTGGCTTGTTTTGTTTCTTGGGGGGGGGGGGACTAAACTCCTCAAAATACACAAGACTATGTGGAAAAATATTTGTTGTCATGACACAAACAGACATTTGAATCAAAAAAATTGCAAACTTGCTGATGGTGTTCTTTGTTTTTGGTCTCTGATCTCCAGCGAATACATCCCCTCGACAAGTGTCTGGTATGGAGCGTGAACGAAAGGTCAGTATGCGACTGCACCGCAGCGCTCCTGTCAACGTGTCATCCTCAGATCTAACAGGACGGCAGGACACCTCCCGCATGTCCACCTCACAGGTACAAGACACATCTGCTTTCTTATAATGTCTTCTTAACCTACCAGCATGTGCAGAAAGAAGAAACTATGACTTTTACAAGAAGTTATTCCACCTCTCCCAAGGCTACAGGAGTAGAAGCTCTCTTCTGAATAAGCAGGAGGAAGCTGTTGTTTAAGCTTTATAGTAACAGCAGCAGGTAGACATTACATTTCAAATTTATTAAACTTTGTCTTCACAGAAGTCTGTAAAACATTAGTATGAATACTGTAGAGTAGGGCTGAATGATTTTGGAAAATAATTGCGATTTTTAAAAAATCTAAATAATAAAATAATATATATCATCAGGTAGGTCTACCTACAGACGACAAGAAAAAGTAAGTTCACCACGGTGTCTCATACAGTACGCACTCAATACAAAACCCACAGTTCAACCACCTTAGTTCAAATCTCCACAAGAGCCCATCTCAACAAAAAACCTGCTCATCTGGATCTCAGCAAGCAAACAAAAAAATAATCAGTTTGAGGTTCAATACACAAATTGGCCAACGAAAATAAAACCAAGTGACGCCTCTCACGACTAATAGACAAGCTTAGTAGGGGGCCTCTTCCAAACTGGTGATTTTGGTTTGAAACGGCGTCACAGATATTCACTGAGCTGACTGCTGGCTGTGTGTGTGCTTCAGCCGCCTGCGCGTTTCGCCACAATATTGCATTTTCCCTGTTCACCTAAGTGGTGTATAACCCAACGATGTCACCCACCACCGCAAAACAGTTTACCCACAGGTGGCGGGTGCTGATTTGTTTCCTGGTTCTGTCACTACTTGTACAACAAGTAACGGTACAGCGTAACATGTGAAGTTGATGCTTCTTCTGTAGACTGCTTTACTCTCACGTGTCATGTGACCGGAGTGCTTTTGCGATTAGAAAATCTTATTTTATCATATTGCAATATTTTTGTAAATGCAATTAAACGTTCAGCCCTACTGTAGAGTGATGTGATTATCTACATGATTTACAAAAGTCTGATGTGTAGTCTCCTGTTTCTTCTTGGAGAGAAGTGAAGTGCTGTTGTTCAGACAGTTTTCTCCAGTTGTTTTGTAAGTGCACGATGTGGGTTTTGACTTGACATATTGGGCCTTCTCTCTCCCTTCCCCCAACCTCAGAATAGCATTCCCTACGAGCATCACGCCAAGTAGACGCTCGCCACGTACTTGTGTGACGGCAGCAACACTGGGTGAGTCTTGTCCCAAAAGCACTGGGGATACATGGGACTAAACTTAAGTTCTATACTGGGCTGCCTCAGTGTTCAGTCCTGGTTCCGGCATGTTTCTCTTCCAGCCCAGTGTTTACCATTTTAAATTCTATAATACTGTCTAATAGACAAGGAGCACAAGAAGAAAACATTGCATGAGATCAGCAGCATCAAGAGGTTCATGTCAGTACAAAAGAAGCTTTACCAGAAATCAGGGCTGAACAAAACAGCAGTTGCTCAATTATACACCAGTGAGCTTTTGTGAAGTTGATTTGAATGGCCAGTTACTGATGTCATATTGCACAATACCATCCACATCAGCTAGTACATCTACCTGGCTGTCAATGACATCATAGCTGCATTGTACCTCAAATTTAGTATAGTCTCTTTGAACAGTCAGATCTTCTCTTCTGAGCAAGAGGGTGCAGTCTTATGAGAACTGGAGTGAATGCATCAGGGCCTAAGATAAAGCTCACTCATTGCTTACTCAGGGTTGACGTAACGCGCCTTTAATCAGCTCTTTGACTTGTTGGTTTGATGCCTCAGGCTACATTCAATTCAATTTTATTTATATAGCGCCAAATCACAACAACAGTTATCTCACAGCACTTTTCATAAAAGAGCAGGTCTAGACCGTACTCTGTGATGTTATTTACAGAAGCCCAACAATTCCCACCAAGGGCAAGCACTAGGCGACAGAGGCAAGGAAAAACTTCCTTTTAAGAGGCAGAAACCTCGAGCAGAACCATGGCTCAGGGTGGGCGGCCACCTGCCTCGACGGGTTGGGGGTGAAGGAGAGAGAGAGGGGAGGGAGGCAGCCTACACAATATACACACAGAGGTACAGACTGTAAAGGTGATGTTGCTATAGACTAAATGAAAAATGGTACAGATATTTATAGTAGTGTTAATGATAACAATCGTAATGTTAATGATTATAATAACAATAATAACAATAGGACTAGTAACAATAGTTGTTGTAGCAGAGGGTGTCGAGCAGGAACACGGGGGCAGCAGGTGACCCGCAGCCACAGATCCAGACTCCACAGCTCCAGAGCCAGAAAACCTGCAGGAAGTGATAGGAGAGAGGAGAGGGACGAGAAAGCACAAGACCACCGGAAAGGGGAGAAGTTGTGTTAGTAACATGCAATAATGGTCAGTACATCATAGGAAATCCCCCGTCAGTCTAGGCCTATAGCAGCATAACTAAGGGATGGTTCAGGACTCACCTGAGCCAGCCCTAACTATAAGCTTTATCAAAGAGGAAAGTCTTAAGCCTACTCTTAAATGTGGAGATGGTGTCTGCCTCCTGAACCCAAACTGGAACCTGGTTCCACAGGAGAGGAGCTTGATAGCTGGACGCTCTGGCTCCTAGTCTACTTTTGGAGACTCTAGGAACCACAAGTAACCCTGCATTCTGGGAGTGCAGTGCTCTGGTGGGGTAGTAAGGTATTATGAGTTCTTTAAGATAAGATGGTGCCTGGCCATTAAGAGCTTTGTAGGTAAGAAGAGTGATTTTAAATTCTGTTCTGGATTTTACTGGAAGCCAATGCAGAGAAGCTAAGACAGGAGAAATATGATCTCTTTTCCTGGTTCCTGTCAGAACACGTGCTGCAGCATTCTGGATCAGCTCAAGAGTCTTAATGGACTTTTTCGAGCAGCCTGATAATAGGGAATTGCAGTAATCCAGCCTAGAAGTAACAAATGCATGGACTAGTTTTTCTGCATCATTTTTAGACAGGATGTTCCTGATTTTCGCAATATTACGTAGGTGAAAAAAGGCAATCCTTGAAATTTGCTTAATGTGAGACTTAAACGACATGTCCTGATCAAAGATAACGCCAAGATTCCTCACAGTGGTGCTGGAGGCCAGGGCGATGCCATCCAGGGAAACTGTATCTTTAGATAATGCGTCACGGAGGTGCTTGGGCCCCAGAACAATAACTTCTGTTTTATCTGAGTTTAACATTAGGAAATTACAGGTCATCCAGGTTTTAATATCCTGAAGGCACATTTGAAGTTTAGCTAACTGATTAGTTTCATCTGGCTTAATCGATAGATATAACGCAAGTTATATGACGTGAGTATCATCTGCATAACAATGAAAGTTTATGGAATATTTCCTGATAATATTGCCTAAAGGAACCATATATAAAGTGAACAGGATTGGTCCGAGGACAGATCCTTGTGGAACTCCATGACTAACTTTGGCGTGCATGGAGGACTCATCTTTAACATGTACAAACTGAAATCAATCTGATAAATAGGACTTAAACCAGCTTAGAGCGGTTCCTTTAATGCCAATGAAATGTTCCAGTCTCTGCAATAGGATCTGATGGTCAATGGTATCAAATGCAGCACTAAGATCTAATAAAACCAGTACAGAGACAAGTCTTTTGTCTGATGCAATAAGGAGGTCGTAATTTTCACCAGTGCTGTCTCTGTGCTATGATGAACTCTAAATCCTGACTGAAAATCCTCAAATAAACTATTGCTCTGTAGAAAGTCACACAGCTGTTTAGCAACTGCTTTCTCCAGGATCTTAGAGAGAAATGGAAGGTTAGATATAGGTCTATAGTTGGCTAAAAAAGTTTGGGCTTTTTCAGAAGAGGTTTAATTACAGCTACTTTAAAGTACTGTGGTACATAGCCTGTTGATAAAGATAGATTGATCATATCTAGTATAGAGGTGCTGACTAGGGGTAAAACGTCTTCAGCCTAGTCGGGATGGGGTCTAAGAGGCAGGTTGATGGTTTAGATGAAGAAATTATTGAAGTTAGTTGGTAAAGATTGAGGGTAGCAAAACAGTCTAAACATATATCTGGTTCTACAGCTGTTTCTAAGGTTCCTGAGTTTAGAGATAAGTCGGTGCCAGTTGAGGGCAGGTCTTGGTGAATTTTGTTTCTAATAGTTAGAATTTTATCATTAAAGAAGCTCATGAAGTCGTAACTACTGAGAGCTATGGGAATACTTGGCTCAATAGAGCTGTGACTCTCTGTCAGCCTGGCTACAGTGCTTAAAAGAAACCTGGGGTTGTTCCTATTTTCCTCTATTAATGACGAGTAGTACGCTGCTCTGGCATTACGGAGGGCCTATCTATAAGTTTTAAGACTATCTTGCCAAATTAAAGGAATTTTCCACTTTGGTGGAACGCCAATTCCTCTCAAGTTTCCGCGATATTTGCTTTAATTTGTGAGTTTCAGTATTATACCATGGAGCTAACCGTCTTTGTTTTATTATTTTCTTTTTTAGAGAGGCTACAGAGTCCAGTAACAATGCAAAAAGTAACAAACTCATAGTAACAGTGTATCACTTGCTTCCTGGTTGGAAGGCAGCGGAAAATAACGTCTTTTTTGCCTTACAAGGGAGCGTTTTCCTTGGAATGTGACATTGCGTGAAAACTGAATAGATACACTCGGAGGGGAATGATGCCACAGCTTGTTTGTAACACGGCAAACAACACCGTTAATAATGCAGGACGTGTTTAGATAAGCAATGCAAGCTTTTGTTTTAGTGGATGCCAAGGTTGGTGGTGGTAGGACTTCGCTCCTCAGAGGAGTTAATGAAAATAAGTTTTTCAGTTATCGCAATTTAGCGAAAAACATCATCACACAGAGGCGTGTCCTATGCAACACGATCCGGCAGCATCCTACATATGTAGATGTAAGGTTTATGAATGGGCGGTGCGGTAATTATGAGGCAAAATATCCTTTGCTTGGCTGCAGCTAACAATGATTTTAGTATTGAAAGCTTCTATAGATTATTTCAACGATTCATCGATGCGTCATTTAAGGGGTACTTTTGTATGGCGCGGCGGCGAAAGTTGCTTTTCGCAGGAAATCTGACCTTCACATAGAAAACAGTTGGCCCATACACGCTGTTATAGGCAACTGAGAAAGTTGGTGAATGCCTCAATTTTTAGGTAGCGTTACAACCTGTTGACATATAGGCAATAAATATGTTATAAATATATTTTAAATCCTTTTAAAAACTCAAATGTCCCTTTTAAAGGTGTGTGGCTGATTTAATCGGTTAGCTCAAAGTGTTGCAGCAGTCTTAACATATGTTGAAAAAGTCTTAAAAAGGTATTGAATTTTACTTCAGGATTCCTTTATATACCCTGGGGTGGATTAGCACACGCGGGTCGCAGGGATTGGCTGAGCTACAGAGAGAGCTGCAGGTGAGGAAAAAGGTGCAGCTCCCCGACACCCAGTAACTCATGGCTGTGAGGTTACAACTCACGGCCCAAAAAGGAGAACAAACACACGTGTAAACATTTTCAGCTGAGGACTGCAGCTTACTTTGGCTAGCCTTCAATCAATCAACCGTGATTTCAGTTAAATGCTAAAGTTACTGTTACCTTGTCTGTGGACCGCTGGCAGAACACCGGCTGCTTTCTGATCAGATGCTTTCATGCTGTTGCCGAGGCGACATAAGTTTCGTTTTACGGTGGACGGACTGTAACATTTACTGTTTTCTTTTAGCTTGAAATAATCCCATACTTTAAACACTTTCTTCTTCGTCCCTCACTATTTTCTCTCTCTTCCTCCACTTTGCAAACAGCGCCATCATAATCACGTTGTGTTCACAGCGTAAGCGCGATGTGCGACAGTAATAAATGTCCGCGCAAAACAGTGTGCTGTATAGGTATATCGATTAAACGAAGCCTCAATGCAAAGAATTTGCATCAATGCATTTTAATAATCGATTTAATCTATGAATCATTTCAGCCCTAGCACCAATATACCATACCTACAGCTGTTTCCCCAGGTTCGAAATGGTGCAGTTACTGTATTTGATAATGTAGCTTACTGGGTGCATAACATTTTAGATGACTTTGTGGTTTGAAAATGATTGATGATGAACAATTTACAGTTATACATACATGTTTATTTGGAAGCAGTGAAAGTACAGGGAAGTTTAATGTTTCCAGTGATTTAGAACAGAGGATTGTTTGAACTTCCTGCTTCTTGTCATTTGTTTCCTCTAGATGGCGTCCAGTGTACCTCCTGCGGGTCTCCATCTTCTAGCTCCTCGATGAGCCCCACAATGCAACCTGGCGGACCAAGCCCTGAAGCAATCCGACATGCTAATACTACCACCACCACTATTAATTACCGCTACTACAGCTACCGTTGGAAGTCCTTTATGACTGACTGCTCTCAGAACTGTTGCCTCCTTCAGATTCTTCTTCTCTCTCCTGTTTTCTCAGTTACCATTTCTTTGTGTTGGTCGGACCTCCTAAAACATTAAAGGGTGTCGGGCGTGAGGGCATTTTTCTGTCCACCTCTTCAGGAGACATTTGCACAGTCCCGTCTCCCAACCACCATCAGATTCTGAATAGGAGTGCTTTGTCGAGGGCAAACATGGCAACCCAGCAGTCTTTTCTAGGACAGTCTGACTGATGAAACACCACTAGCTCCTCTTTCCTCTGCGGAAACCACTCCACTGTCACTTTCTGTTTGGTCATATCTGATCAATAAAACCGCTTTTCTCTCGTTTGCAGTAAGATGTAAAGCTGAACCAGCAGCTCTTCATTGTGTGTGTATATATCTATGGGTAGCTTTTGGGGTGTGATGCTTTTCATTGGAATTTGCAGTTTTTATTCCCTGCACTCACCGCCACGTTTCCTTTTTACTAATCACCACCACTGATGGCTCTCTTCAATAAATTAAATAAAAAGAAACTACTTCTTTGCATGATTAGAGGTGAGCCGTCAGTCAAGTGCGGAGGGTTGAGTGGTACCAAAAATATGCTTTGGTGTCTTAGGTGCAGGAGGTTGTGTATTCACACATTAGTTGTCAAGCTCTGGTGTCCTGTCCAATGAGCCCTGTTACCTTCCTAGTGGTTTGTACAAAAGCAGCATACTTTATGTATGGGTGCAAGGTCATCATCAGACATTTTACCAGATGTCCGTTCACTGTGGACAGAAACATTCTCATTTTCTTATTTGTATTAATTTGAAGCTGTGAATTACTTGTAATATTGGTGTGTAAATGTAAATGTGTCACTTTGTATTCACAGACGTGTAGGGATGGGTCTGAACATGACTTGACATGAAGTTTGGACTGCCATAAGTGTCCCATCAGTCTGCCCCCTTCAGAGCCATGGAGGTATTACAGAAAGCAGTGATGAGGGCAGACATGTTGCACTAAATGTGAAAGACGTTTTGAATGACGTGCTTTCCTGTCACAGCTACTGCTCAGTATAAGCGACTCAGTGATCCTGCACCAATGTTGCAAACTGCAATTTTGTAATGGCACAGAAAATGCATTCTTTATGAATCCTCTTACATAAAACTTTATTGAAATGATTCTTTGGTGGGAGGGAAGTTGAGCATCATCTGTTCACAAGCTTCTCCAGCAGCACTGTTTTGGGGTTGTTATATTTAAGTCTTTGCTGTGATGAATAACAAAGTCTGTCAGAATGAAATGGCCTATTGTAATTCGTTCTTGCTGCTTCGTATTCTGTAGTTTTTGATTTTGACCCATGACCTCTTTGGTCAGCTTCTCTAAACCTATTAGATTATGTGAGCAACCAGATCAGCAAGATTTACTTTTTGACATTTATATTTGCCACTGTAGTTGTGTACTTTAACTGTAAATAAATAAATTACTTGTACTTTTTTGTGTCATTACTTCATAGTGCCTCTGAATTAATCAGGTTATTTTAGTGACGAAAGGGGGGTGGGGTGCTACCATGAGAGCTTTGAAAGGTACTATAAAGGTATAAGACCTTCATTTGCACACAAGTTGAATCTCACACAGGCTCCGCCCTCTACTGGACTGTATGGGTAGTACTTCCTCCAATCACACACACGTACTTTCCCACTGAAATTTTTATTGTGCATTTAGCCAACCATTAGGACCTCACTGCCAATCTTTATATACAGTCTCTGCAACCAACATGTGCAACTGTTAGTGAATTCACCACCTCCACGGATGGAGTCGCCACTTCTACAAATTCGTAATTGCAGCCAGGCAAGGGGACTCGTCCCTCCCCCCACTACAGAAAAGACAGTTTTAGAAGAAAAGAGATTGTCGAAATTGTGTTTGAGCGTGCTGTTGAGAGCAAGCGTTAGTATTTGTCAAATTAGCTGTACCGTGAATGGGTAAAAGTAAGTTTGTCATGGCAGGATGTAAATAAAAAGAGGAAAGGTAGGTGCAGTAGTTCTGGAAGTTAAACCTATGGTTTGGAGGGGGGCGACAAAAAAGTGAAGCCTACAATGATAAATGTGAGAAAGAAGGATAAACAAACTGAATGGAAAATGATAACATCGAAAAAAGAAGGGACATTTTCACCCATTAAAACTAACAAAAGCAATTGAGAAAGAGAGGGTTAAAATCAAGTTTGCCAAATATTTAAGTAAAATGAGGCAGCTGGTCTTTGCTACTGACCAGCTTCAAAGAGAGCAGAAACACTGAATGGAGAAAGGATCAGTGTTCATACCCCTAGGAATGCAGCAAAGCTTAGAAGTATTATTTATGATGTACCTTTGGCAATGACAATGGAGGAGAAAATTCAGAAAGTGAAAAGAGGAAAGGTGGTGAAAGCCATAAGACTGCAAACTCAAAGCAAAGGGGTGAAAACTGATAGCCTGTCAGTCCTTGAGTTTGAAAAGTGATGCCAAAGAGAGTAAGAATGGGACATCTGAGTTATGTAAGAGAGTTTATCCCAGCACCACTTCGATGTTTCAAGTGTCAAAGAATGGGAAACACGGCAGGATAATGTAAAGGAAAACAAAGATGTGCTAGATGTGGAGGTGAACATGAATATGGAATGGAATGTGGTCAGGATACAAAAGTAAAATGCTGCAATTTTGGCGGTGAAGACAGTGCTGTTTTTGGAGGATGCCCTGTTCAAAGGCAAGCTAGAGAGGAACAGAAATATAAAGTACCTAATCAGGTATCTTATGCTGATGCAGCAAAAAAAGTGACAGAAAGTGATCTGGATAGATCCAGTATTACACTAGTAGTAAAAAGAGCAAAAGAGTCTGAGAATAGACAAGTAATTGAGGTTTCATCTCCCACGCCAAGTCAGACGCAAACAGAAACAAATCCATGGATAAAGGAGATTAATGAAGATACACTGATTGTGGGTAAACCCACCTTGGTTGCTTTCATCTGTAAGACTGAATGTGGCAATACAGCAAAAGAAAAAATGTGATACAATCAAGACAATTGTAGAGGCAGCTCTAGAGATACTGGGGATCACAGAAGTTACAGCTGAAGTAGTGTCTCAAGGCGATTAGCCTCATTATGGTATTTCATATCCTTCACTGGAATGCCAGAAGTTTAATTGCTAATGGACAAGAGTTCAAGAAGGTTGTAACTGATCTGGAAGTTGGACATGATGTTATGTGTGCAAGAAACTTGGTTCAGACCGCACTTGGATTTTGTCCTACCAGGTTACAGCTCGATTAGATTTGACAGAACTGGAAAACAAGGTGGAGGATGTGTATCATTTATTAAGGATACTTTAGCATATAGAAGTGTAACTGTCCCAAATTAGTATGAATGTGTTGTTCAATTTTTACAATCCCTGCTAGAAATTATCAATGCAAACAACTCAGGAGAGCTCAGAAAGTGTTGATAGAAGAGAAATATGGTGTGGAGACTTTAATGCTCACAACACTCTCTGGGGAAGTGACCATACGGACACAAATAGAGAAGTAGTTGAAGAACTAATCGAGGAGAGATCACTTTCTTGCCTTAATGATGGAAGAGGTACCAGGATTACTTACTTTAGTCTCTGGAAATATGAGCAATTTATGTGAATGGAATGTAAATAATGATACCAACACAGGTAGTGATCACTTTACAATATTGTGTTCAGGAGGGTTATGCAATAAAGAGATGGTGTTTTCCTAAAGCTGGCTGAGAAAAATTGAGACAACTTTGTATTGACAATACTGAAAGAATATCTATGGAGGGTGATGTAAATAGCTGCGCAGAAGCAGTGACTTCCATGATTATTAGTGCTGCATTAACCTGCATCCTTAAGACCACAGTGAATAGGAAGAAAATAGTTCCATGGTGGAACGATGAATGTAAAATGCTATAAAAAGACAGAAATCATGCATTTAGAATTTTAAGAAAGCATTTGAGCCTAGATCCTGATTGATTATCAAAGAAATAGAGCTATAGTGCGGAAAATAATTAAGTCACCCAAGCAGAATGCATGGAGGCAATTCTGCTCCTCCATTGGCAGAGAAGTTAAATTGGGTGACATTTGGACAATGATTAAAAAGATGAATGGGAAAAGAAAATATGTTAAAATCCCAGTGCTGATAGATGGAGAATACCTGGCAAATATAAAAACATAAAATTTATATTTTAAGAACAAATAGTGATGTAACTAAGAAAATTGATAATGATGGATTGGCACTTGACATGGACTTTTCTTTACACGAGTTAAAAATGTTACTAGAGGGAAATGGATATACAGCTCCAAGACTAGATCAACTATGTTATGCTATGTTTAGACAATTACCAGAAGAAGTCTTGGAAATTATATTAAACCTGTTTAATAAGATATGGAGAAGGTGTCATGCCTGATGGTTGGAAAAGTGTACACCCACAACTGCATTCCAACATGGAGAGAACTCTGTTGTGAAGTTTGCGGACAACAATGAGAAACAACAATTTCAAACAACGATGAGACTCCATATCGGGAGGAAACGGATTGTAGAGTGGCCAGCCTAAGGCCTTTTATTGTGGCCAACCTAAGGCACACCTGTGCAATACCCATGCTGTCTGATCAGCATCTTGATATGCCACACCTGTGACGTGGATGGATTATCTCGGCAAAGGAGAAGTGCTCACTAACAGATTTTGACAGATTTGTGAACAATATTTGAGAGAAATAGGCCTTTTGTGTACATAGAGAAAGTCTTAGATCTTTGAGTTTAGCTCATGATGAAGGGGGCAAAAACAAATGTGTTGCGTTTATAATTTTCTTCAGTGTATATTGTCTGCTATATGTAAGGAGTTACAAACTCTATTTCACTATATAGCCTGTTATATTGTGACAAAAGGTATCTACTTACCTATGAAAGAGGTCATGTGTGTTGAGAAAGCTTATGACTCACTGTGGAGAGAATGAATACCGATTAAAATGCATGAAATGGGTATTGGCAGAAGGCTATACAACTGGATTTTAGACTAACTGTCTAACCAAACATTCCAGGTTAAAGTTGGAGATGCTCTATCAGATGATTCTGATATTGCAAATGGTATTTCTCAAGTGTGGTATTTCTACAATACTGCATCTGGTTATATTCCTTTGCAACCAAAACTTCTCCTACGGGGGATTAATAAAGTTATATCTTAAGTTATCTAGCGCTATTCAATTCAATTTTATTTATATAGTCTAGACCGTATTCTGTTACATTATTTACAGAAACCCAACAATTCCCACCATGAGTAAGCACTAGGCGACATAAGGCAAGGAACAACTTCCTTTAAAGTAGATGGTGTCGAGCAGAAACATGGGGGCAACAGATGACTTGCAACCACAGCTCCAGAGCCAGAAAACCTGTAGGAAGTGATAGGAGGTGAGTGGGGAGGGACGAGAAAGCACAAGACTACGGGAAAGGGAAGAAGTTGAGTTAGTAAAACATGCATTAATGGGATGAGGTTGCATACAGAGGGAGATAAAGTAGAGGATAGAGGAGCTCAGAGCATCATGGGAAATCCCCCGGCAGTCTAGGCCTATAGCAGCATAACTAAGGGATGGTTCAGGACTCACCTGAGCCAGCCCTAACTATAAGCTTTATCAAAGAGGAAAGTCTTAAGCCTACACTTAAATGTGGAGATGGTGTCTGCCTCCTGAACCCAAACTGGAACCTGGTTCCACAGGAGAGGAGCTTGATAGCTGAACGCTCTGGCTCCTAGTCTACTTTTGGAGACTCTAGGAAACCACAAGTTAAAAGTAGTTTTGTGTCGTTCAAAGAACGTTTCGTTCATAAGACCTAATCGTGTGTATGACTTGGGAGGAACGGGTTGTCTCAGTGAGTCATTGGTTCATTTTCACGCATGCGTGAAGGATCTTGGACTCTTACGTTCACTCGTCACACGGCAGCTGCATGGGCTCCGTCAGCACAGGAAACAGAATTGATTAGTTCAGGACTCTCAACTGTGGGTCTGTTTGAGTCATTTGTCACGTGACAGCTACTGTGGAGCAGGAATGAACTACTAGTTCACCGCTCACATGGGTCCTCAGTCTTTCGTTCATTCGGCAGGCTGAGTGACTGCCAGCGCCGGAGAATGAGAGGCAGGTCAGCTGTCAGGTCAACAGTCACTGGATTGATACTATATAGCTATTTTGTTAATTATGTGACATTTAATAAAGCATAACGTTATTACAGCGCAGTGATGTTGTGCTAAGTTTTAGTTTTAACACAGCCGCACCGTAACTTTAGTCCTGCGGGTGTTTAACATTACAGCCAAGAGCTGATGAGAGTTGTTCTGGGTCCGCTCCACTTCAGAGCCCTGACAGGGTTCTGCCTGGAGCCGAATTACCTCCGAGGTCGTCTCCTCTCCAAAACAAACAGACCCGGTCATTAAAACATTAAAACACAGCCACGTAGCAACGTTAGCGTTAGCCCTGTAAACAGCTAACAGCTGATCCAGGTCCGCCAGAGAACGCGACGTAACTTTTCCTTTTTATTTACCAACAGAGCCGTGCTGTTGTTTCACAGCTCGTGACTGGTGAACAACCTGCAGTGTTTGAGAGCGATGTGCTCATGTGTGTTTCTCTGTCTGCAGAATCCGGATCTGATGTGGCCCATTCTGCGTCCAGAACTGACAGACTCCTGCGTTTATATAATGTGTTAATATTTCTTTGTTCCTCTCTCTGTGCTGGAGTTCTTTAAGAACTTGGTGGCTTAATCCAGATTATCATTAAATTGGTTGAATTTTAATAAGAGTGTGTTTATTCACATAGTGTATCAATCTTATTATATATTTTATATATATATTGATATATATTATATCAATATAACCAGCCTAGTTCAAATGAACAAAATTACTCAAAAAAAGATTAGTTCATTTTAATGAACGAGATTTGAATGAACGAGTCTGTCAAAAGACTCGAACTTGCCATCACTAGTTAAAAGCTGCTAGAACAGGAGAAATTAGATTTCTTTTCCTGGTTCCTGTCAGAACATGTGCTGCAGCATTCTGGATCAGCTGAAGAGTCTTAATGGACTTTTTCGAGCAGCCTGATAAGTCTAGTTTTAGACAAGATGTTCTAGATTTTTGCAATATTATGTGGGTGAAAAAAGGCGGTCCTTGAAATTTGCTTGAAAGTTCCCTTTGGAAAAGGAGAGGCCAAATCATTAATAAGAAAGGCAGTGAGTGACGTATGGCAGAGGAAGTGGGACACAGATACTAAAGGGAGACACTATTACAGCATACAGAAATCACTTAAGGTGAAGGGTTTCAAAGGGAAATGTAGAAGAGATGAGTTTTTTTTTTTCAAGATTAAGATTTGGACATACTGGATTAAAATCAAATCTTTATTTAATGGCATCATGAAGTGTAGTAAATATGATTCTGAGAGGAAGATCTTGTGTAAAGCCGTAAAACCACTCCGGTACAGTAGGTGGTGGTATGCACCTGAACAAGTTGGTTGCGATCTGCCATAAAACCCAGAGAAGAAGAAGGAGGAGCGCACACTAGGGTAAGGCTTTGTGGAAACCGTTTTTTGAGTAAAACATTCCTCAAAGAGCTAACTCCTCGCATCAGGCTAAGGGCTCAAGAAGCCACTGTTCTAAAACATACGCTCCTTTTGTACACTGTGGTGATGCTTTTGGGAATGTTAAACTGTTTATTAAAACACGTTACAAAAAAATGCATTATTAAAAGAGCTAATTCCCCAACACCAACTTATTGAACTGTTGAGGTAACTTCACTCTGTTGATACTCTGCTTGTAGCAAACTTCATTTTTTGGGCTGCTATCTATGACTAAGGGCTTCTGAGTGCTATCCTATCATTGTGAACAATTCGAGGGACGTCGACAATAATAACTGGAAGGACTTATTAGAGGTCCAAGCCCGAGTAGTACCAGTGAAGTGCTGGGAACCCTATTGTAATCGTTCTCGTTTTTATTTTTCATTAGGGGTCCAAGCCTGAGTGGACTGGGAAATCGCAAATGCAAGACATCGTGGTTCCCAGTACCAGCAGAGCTGGGAACCCTATTGTTTTCACTTGGATTTTTCGCTCACTTCTGCCTCTAGGGGATGCTACAAGCAAGGTCCATAGTTTGCACATTCAAATAGCTGTAACTCCCGCATACGAAGGCCAATATCAAAAACCTTATATCCACGCGTTCGAGGGATCGAGCTGAATCTCCTGGTATAGGCCATACCCCAATTCCGCCTAGTCTTTTTTTTTGGTACATTGTGAAAACTGAAAAACCTATTTTAATTAAATTAAGCACCAAACTTGGCACAGTTAATCTCTGGACCAAGCTGATGAAAGTCTGTAGAGGAAATTTTGATCCGCTATGAATTATAAGCAAACAAATGTCAATGTCATGTCAGATCATACCTTATCTGGCATGCCCTCCCGAGGGGCTGTGTGAAATTTGGAGAAGGGGTTGTAGCCAATTCTGTGGTCTGGTCGCTGCCACACCGACCACTGGTCGCTACAACAGTGTCTGAGGGAAGGCTCCTTTCCGTTCCTTGTTACACAAACTGTGGCTGTACACATTAAAAAAGGTCAGTTTCAAGTTTTTATACAGTCTATGGTTCCAAAGTAGACCTAAAGTGACCTTAGATCATTTAAATTATCTCAGCTGGCAGATGATACAATTTTTTTTGTCTATTAGAGAGGAATGAATCAAAGCAATTAGATGTGTTGTGGCAGCGACCACAATCTTTAGCGCCCCTAGTGGTAGCGACCAGTGGTCTGTGTGGCAGAGACCAGTGGTCTGTGTGGCAGAGACCAGTGGTCGGTGTGGCAGCGACCACAATCTTTCGCGCCCCTAGTGGTAGCGACCAGTGGTCTGTGTGGCAGAGACCAGTGGTCGGTGTGGCAGCGACCACAATCTTTCGCACCCCTAGTGGTAGCGACCAGTGGTCTGTGTGGCAGAGACCAGTGGTCGGTGTGGCAGCGACCACAATCTTTCGCGCCCCTAGTGGTAGCGACCAGTGGTCTGTGTGGCAGAGACCAGTGGTCGGTGTGGCAGCGACCACAATCTTTAGCGCCCCTAGTGGTAGCGACCAGTGGTCTGTGTGGCAGAGACCAGTGGTCGGTGTGGCAGCGACCACAATCTTTCGCACCCCTAGTGGTAGCGACCAGTGGTCTGTGTGGCAGAGACCAGTGGTCGGTGTGGCAGCGACCACAATCTTTCGCGCCCCTAGTGGTAGCGGCCAGCGGTCTGTGTGGCAGAGACCACAATCTTTCGCGCCCCTAGTGGTAGCGACCAGTGGTCTGTGTGGCAGAGACCAGTGGTCGGTGGGCAGCGACCACAATCTTTAGCGCCCCTAGTGGTAGCGACCAGTGGTCTGTGTGGCAGAGACCAGTGGTCGGTGGGCAGCGACCACAATCTTTAGCGCCCCTAGTGGTAGCGACCAGTGGTCTGTGTGGCAGAGACCAGTGGTCGGTGTGGCAGCGACAAGACCACAGAATTGGCTACAACCCCTGCTGATTTGGCGTCAATTGGACTCTAGGTGGCGCTATTAATTGGAAATCAAATAACACTCCCATAGACATACATTCATTTCAGCTCTCCATAACCGCAAGCCCCTTTCATTTATAACTCACTAAAAGTGTCACCCTTCATGGGGAAACAAATGGACGATTCGACACCTTACAGATCAAAGTGGGGTTTCTGCAGAAAGAATACCGTACGCTCCGTGACAGATGCAATGCACTGGATGCTTAAGAGGAGGTGGAATTTACGGGTCACTGGGAGAAAGTGCAGGAGAAAATGTCAAGAAAATTGTCGCAGATTTATTCAGCCAGGTGTCAGACATCGCAGATAAACTGGGCTACTCTGTGGACATCGCTCATAGGCTCGGTCCTCGCTCTGGAGAGCCACGTACCAGCCGCGCATCATTGTGCCTTTCTCGTCAAGAACCCACAGGGACAAGATTTGGAGGGATGCCAGAACTTCGTCCATACTCAAAGAAAGTAAATGCTCTGTACTTATATAGCGCCTTTCAAGTCTCTTTGACCACTCAAAGCGCTTTCACACTACATCCACCAGTCATACACTGAGCCTAAGTGCTCAAACAGAAACTAACATTCACACACTGGCAGAACAGCCACCAGAGGCAATTCGGGGTTCAGTATCTTGCCCAAGGACACTTTGACACACAACTAGGGGGAGCCGGGGATTGAACCGCTGACCTTCTGATTAACGGCCAACCCGCTCTATCTCCTGAGCCACAGCCACCCCAAGAAAGGAAAATCAGGATCATGCCACAAGAGACCAAGGATGCCAGGAACAAGCTGAACAGGCGAGGAAGGAGGGAAATGCCGCTCCTACACCATCTGCTGAAGAGGTGGTCGGATGCTTAGGCAGTAATAGGAACACACTGCTATTTCACGCACATATTAGCAGCGACGTCCTATTGGTTGGCTACGTGCACAATAAAAATTTCTGCGGGCAAGTGTGTGCATTTGATTGGAGGAAGTAATACCCATAGAGTCCAGTAGAGGGCTCCACCTGTGCTTATAGAACTAGGGTTACCATATCGTTACCTTTGTTCTTTCCATCTTCATAACAGCCGAGAAATTTGGTCTTGCCTCTAAGTAAGACTGATCATCTGAGGAATTCAAACAGCACTGCAGTCAAATGTCATCACTACCAAAGGCTTTACATGTGGATTTGAGCCTGTTGCTGAATGGAAGAAAGATGCCATGTTGTAGTCATTTTTCACAACTAAAATATTTTTATTTGGAAGAAACTGTAAATGTGGACAACACTCAGAAAAATAGCTGTGTCAAGTGCAGTTTGTGTGCCATATTTCTACACCCAGTGTCTGTTCAGCATTAGCTCAAAAAGATACACAGAAGGCATAGGGCACACAGCATCACAGCATCAGCACCACACCAACATGTAACACAGCAGGTCCTAGACACAGTATTAAGCAGACCTTTACAGACAATGTAGGACATACATTAGCTGGGTGTAGCAGTCCAGTAAGTTTGTCCCAGTGTCCTGCAGGTTGAGTGCCAAAAAATTCTGAATTATTTTTACAATCAGTTTTTGATATGAGTTGTCATCCTATTACATAAAATGTCAATAAATAAAGCAAAATAGTGCAAAAAACAGTGTACATTATTTAAAATTTGAGTGTGAAAAGTCAAGTCCACTTACTAGCTTTTCCGGGGCTTTTAACAGCTTCTACAGTCTTTATTAGCAGAGGAGGGGTAGTAACGAGTTACATTTACTCCCTTACATGTACTCAATAACTTCTTTTAGTAAACTGTACTTGTCAGAGTAGTTTTAATGCATCATACTTTTACTCTTAATTGAATAGTCTTTAAGAGAAAAATCATTACTTTTTAACTCCGCTACATTTGGATACATTCATTGCACATCCGCATGACTGTTAGAAGAGAATAATGGCTGAAGCTACATCATGTACAGCTTTCAAATGGCGCTAGCAGCTAATATTTAGTTTACAGATTAAAATCTAGCGCACGTGCAGCCAGCCTGGTCTCATCCCAGAGCGTCCGATACCGACGCTTTGTCAGGCTTTCTCAAAGCGTCGGTATCTGACACCCCGGGATCAGACCGAGCTGGTGCAGCGGGTTTCGGTTGTGAAGTCAGTAGGCTACACCATGCTGACACTGAGCTGACAGAGAGCAGTGTCTGCTGTGGTAATGCTAATATGTTTAATAATAAAAAGCTACACACATCATGCTTAAAAACTCCTCCTGCTCTCTACCTTAATGTAAATATTTAAGCTAACAGTGTAGCCTACTAGCAGTCTGCATTTAACTAGTCATGCTCATTGGTATAGCCTGATGCGACTGATGTGTTTCAACCAGATGATCTTCCTCGGGTAAACGTGAAGAAGTGATTAAATTAAATTATGAAACATCTCCAAAATTATCTCCTAATTTGATGTGTTTGGCAAATCGTTTCATCAATCATTTTTAAACAATCTTTACTTATTGGAGTTCTAACAGACTATAATATAAACTCAATAATTTGTAATCATACTTGATGGATACACACTAGGAATATTGTCCTGGTGTAAATGTAGTTTTAGTAAGTACTTTTGTACTCTTACTCAAGTAGTTATTTTGATGACCACTTTTACTGCTACTTGTTTCTGCAAATTAACAGTAGGGGTGACCGGGGTCAATTGTAACACACTCAATTTCTCCAATCAGAAACAAGCTAGAGTGATGACACTTAATCTGCACATGCTCAATAGGATTCTCTCTCTGCCTGTGGAAAAGGAGCAGGATCATATTTCACTAAATATAAATGTAAAGCCATATTAAAAAAGGGTGTATTAAAAGAAATGGATTTGTTCTAGTATCACCAATCAACAATTAACATAGGCCAACATTCTTTGTATAAAATAGTGTGTTTTGTTTGTGTTTAACAGAAAGTGTGAATATTATATAGGCCTAAGTCTGCAAAAGTAAAGTTCCTTTCATTGTCAGTTTGTCTGTATAGTGGACTATACCATCAACTACTTACTATGGTATAAGACCCAGCAAAACCAAAGAGAATGACTAGTTCACTTGTAAAAAGCAATTTTATGAAGTTAGAACAAATAACAGCAGAGGATACCTGACATCTAAAATAATTTGAACCATTTAAAAACTCTTATGTAACATTATTAGCTGTAAAGTATTTACTTTGAGGTAGCCTAGGCTTTTACCTGAGATGTAGTGGGTTAATACGACTTATTTTTCAGTGTTACAATTGCCCCTGGTCTACCCTGCTTTTACTTGTGTGTTTCCCCAAGGATTTTTCAACCCCGCGAAACTAGTAGTGTTGCGGAGTGGGTGTGTTACGGAAACGTGGTGTCATCATCGATGCAACACACTCATTCTTCTCCTTTCCTCTTCCACATTTTTATCACTAAAGTTACTATGGGATTGTAACTTCCTCTAGGTCTGCTTAATGGGGACCACCAGGAATCTCACAGGGCAATTCCCTTACCTGACTGCACTGTCAAAACTATCAAGGGGTCAACATTTACCCCAAACCATTCAACACCTTGAGATCTCTGCTGCTACACACTGAAGAAAAGACCCCCCGATGTACAGTTGATGAAAACTGAGCACCCCCATCTGGTGATACAGGCTATGAGATATGTTTGAAAGCTCCAGACAAAGCCAGTAAGTAGACCATGAGTGAAGTTTTTGTCAATGTATTTGAAATCTGTAGGAAATGGAAAATAGAATAGCTTTAGTCCTAAATGGTGAAAAGAGATATGTCTGAGAAAAATGGTGCTAACATAGGTATACAAAACTGGAAATCAACTTTTTTGTTCTGAATGCAGTGTGTCTAAGTAGACAGTAGTACAGCAGGTTTCTTACCCTATAAAGCTGCTATTTGTTCCAGTAAAGTTGGGCATTTCATGCCTTGTATGCCTACTATTTAAACAATACAGCAATTCTTAATTTAAGTCCAGTAATACATAATTGGATCAATATGTTGTATAGAACCAATTCAGGTGAAAACAGCTCTTAATTATCAAATGTCCCCAACTTATATCCATTATATGAAACTGTGATTTTCATTTAAAGGCTCTTTTCTTACCCTACTTTGTGCCCCCTCACTATCTGCTCCTTGCTCCTTTAATTTGACACAGGGCATCATCAGAACTTTTTATGAATCGTCTTGGTGCACATATTTATCTTATTCTTCATAATGATGTATTTTCCTCTCCACCCTCCACACCCATCTTCTCCACTATCACCTCCTCCCCTGCTTTTACAGCACTGACATTTCCATTCTCTTTTCCCTTAGGCTCCTCTTCGCCTTCATCATTTTCCTTGCTTTCCACCCCAAGGTACAGCCCCTCCTTCTCTGTAGCCGTCACCGCCATCTCCATCTTAGCCTCTGGATCTTGTTTCCTGCTGATGCAAAGGAAATTACCCATGGCAATGACGAAGGCCGACAGTGTGACCTCACAGCCCGCCAACAGGAAGACGTACATGTACTGATGGGTGGCATCCAAGAGGCGACCTGGTGGAGAGTACAAAAACATCTAATTATAAAAAAGTGATTTGCAGCACTAACGTGTCAAACCATTTATTGGATTTTCTTTTTTTACTTTCAGGGACAGTGGCACACCTACTTTACTTTACCTAAACGGACCTAGTTTGCTGTAAAGAGTGTCTACTGGGGCATCCCCATGGCTTTGGTTCAAAGGCCCTTTCAGACACAATGTGACAACGGTATCACAGCACTCTGAAACCCGTTTGTGCCATCGTAACAGCTCTTCACTGCTTGGTGAGCTTGCACCCAAAGTTCAACTAGGTTGGTCTGAACCCAGCAGCGAGTGCAGCTCAAATTGCATTGTGGCTGAAAGGGCCTTAAGACTGATTATGAACCACAACATCCCCAGGTCAAATCCACTTTTTGTTGTATAAAATGGCCGAACGAAAAAAGTGCCTTTTTGCAGAATGCAGTAAGATTCGGATGCTCTGGGACATAAAGTTTAAAAATTCTTTAAAAGATCTATAGATTTTCTGTTCAAAAGTGGTAAAAATAAATAAATTAAAGATGAGCCCTAAGTATTACATTCTCTCAGATGAACAAACATGTCAGTGAAGGTTGGGAGGCACAGATTAATATTTGTTCCTTCTGTGATCTGACCTGCTCCAGGAGGTCCCACTAGTACAGCCATAGCTTCCATTAGCAACACCAGGCCAATGGCGCTGGAGAACTTCTCTGTCCCTACAATAGCCATGAGGACCTCGAACTGTAGCGCTCCCACCATGCCATACGAAATACCAAAGAAGATACAGAACACCACCAGACCTGCATAGTTATTTGCCTGCAAGGAGAGAAACAGGAGATTGGACAACAGGTTTCTCTCATCTATCTACAACTACCGTGTTTTACCAGCCTGACTGTTATTATATACATTAGATGACATAATCTCTTTATTTTTAAATTCCAGTTTTGTCCTGTTTTCTCCCAGTAGGAGCAGGCAGGTCCAATTCTTTTACGTATGATTACAACAGACTTGGTCTGACTCTCCATTCTCCTTGTAATATTGCTGCATTGTTACCTGTGATCCTATGATGTCACTGCACCCATTGAAGATTATTGCAAAGCTGAACAGGTAGACACTTCTGGGCCGTACACACTTCATGCCTGCTATGAGTCCTGATGCAGGGCGAGCAAACATATCAACAAATCCCAATATGGTGAGCAGCAATGCCGACTTAGTATCCTCATAGCCGAGTCCTTTAGCATAGCTGACCACAAACACGGGGGGCACAAACAAGCCCAGCACCATAATAGAAGCTGCAATGGTATAGATGACAAATCCTCTGTCCTTGAACACACTGAAATCCAACAGTTTCTTTTTTGGCTTCTTCTCCTCCTCTGCAGCTGCCAGAGTGTTCTCCTTCTGCTCATGGGGTTTCTTAGGGGCCAACAAAGGCCTCATGAGGGCACCACAGGCACAGCAGTTGAGCAGCAACCCTCCTAGTATGAGGAACCCCCCCCTCCAGCCATACTGGTACTGGAGAATCTGTCCCAGTGGGGAGAGACAGCACAGTGCCACAGGGCTGCCTGCTGCTGCCAAGCCATTGGCCAGAGGACGTTTCTCAGAAAAGTAGCGATTCAGCATTATAAGAGATGGCTGGAAGTTCAATGCCAGACCCAGACCTGAGGAGAGACAGAACTGTTACAGAAATAATTTACTTTGCAAAACATATATGTTTAGCAGCAAGTTTTCTCAGTCTTTGTTGATGTTTTGTATTAAAAGGCTGTAGAAGGCTTCCTTTGCATTCCTGTTAACATTTCATAATCATTTTGGCTGTTTTTGTGTGATTCCACTGATGGTGAGCAGTACCTTAGACTTGTGTTAACAGGTTGAAACAGTAATGTTACAACATGAATGGGTGAATCATAATTCTGGCTTTGTTTCAACAGCTTAGAGCTGCAGTGAGTTTTCCAATCTTTGGTGCCATTATTTTCACCACTGTTCATCACTTGTGGCAAGTGTAATAATAGCTGTATGATCTGAAATACCCGGACTACATGGAGAATGTTGCGTTTCCTCAGTAGTGGTGTTGTAGCCATGTAGTTCACCCTAAAAGTTGCATTGGGAGAATATATTATATGGTCATTGAAATCTAAGGATGATCCACCTACCAGCATGAATGTGCTCAGGAATGTCCATGACAATCTGCAGGTAATATCATTGTGTATGTTGGCCTGGAGTAAAGCTCAGAGAGCCTAGGGTCATCCTCTGAGGAGCACGAATGTGTTCACTGAATTCACATGCTGTCAGTTTGGATATTTCCTCTGTACCAATTATTGTGCCCATATGTTTTTTGTCCACTTTGTGGTGCTCCCCTCTGGGAAGCAAGAATGTCCCCATCAAATTTAATGGCAACTTTGGAGACTAGTTCTCAAGATATGCTGCTGTGGACCAAGTCTTTGATAAATTGACAGACTGACTGACAAAACAGTTACAGGTACATTACTGTATTTATTTAAGACTTAGTTATCGCAGTTATCGTGGTGTGCACCTCAATGCTTTAATGATCTCACAGTAACTGGTCAAAATGTAGGTTCCTTTTTTCTTTGACCTTGCTTTTGTTATGTCTCCTCAATATTGCTGCTGTGTATTCTAATCATCATACTTAACAGAATGGATATGGATGTATCTACATGTCTGTCTCCTTGTTACATGTTTGTGTTTTTCCTATGTGTTCATGTATGTTGTGACTCCACCTGTAATAACTCCAGTGCAGAGGTAGATGTGTATCATGCTGGTGGCAAAGGAGGCCAGAATCATTCCCAGCGAGGCAAAGAGCCCTCCAACCATCATCACTGGTCGACAGCCAAACCTGTTCACAAGTACACTGCACAGAGGGCCTAAGAGAACACATGAATTAGAAAACTTTGTTGTATGGTATTTAGCAGTTAATCACTCCAGGATGTGTGTTGTTCTTGTGTACCTGTGCCATACAGCATGGCAAGCAGTATTGATGAGATCCAGGCGGTGTCGCTGTAGCCCACATCAAACTCTCTGATCAGCTCCTTGAAGAAGACACTGACAGCCTTGGGGAAAGCATAGGAAAAGCCAGTGATGACAAAGCAGCCAGCCAGCACTGCCCAACCCCAGCCTCCGTCTGGTGCCTTCACTCCAGGAGGTCCGTCGTCCACCACTGCTCCTCCCATGATGCTCTCTGACTGCTGTGTTGAGGTCAGTTGCTATAAACACAGTGGTAAAGAACTCACTTTAAACTTCAGTACAGACTTATCCTTGAAACTGTGGTGTCACTCTGCCTCATATTGCTTTCATATGTCCTTAAAATGTTCATGTCGAATTCTTTTGTCATGTCCTAGAGCATGTCATGTTTACTATAGATTAAAACTAGGAGGTCAAACAATATGTTCATAATTATTTAAATAGAAATCATTTGTGTGCAAGACAGTGCATTCACTATTGGTCACACAGCTACTGTAGTGTGATGGTAGAACAGGTTTCTCTCCACTGGACTTGTTAGCCTTTGAGGCTATTGTTTATAGGAGAGGTTGTTTTGTTTTTGTTTTTTACAGTACGACCACTTCTATTTCAAGAGGAGAGTGTGTGTGTTGTGTTAGTTGCGGTGAAGCATGTAAATATGGGAACATGGTATCTGCTGGGGGTCATTAATTGTTGACAGCTTATCAGGACAGATGAAGCTTCCTCCTGACACGTCCTCTTGTTTCCTGCACAGCCTTTTATCTCTGCTGTGTACCCTCACAATACTAGAATCCACTCTTGTCTCTCACACATTGCATTCATACATTCCACAATTATTTTCACATTCTAGTGTTTAAAGTGTCAGTGTGTGTAGTAAAATTGACCTTCTTGTATGTGTTTTTTTTCACGTATATCTATATTACCACAATCACAGTTATAGTTATAGAAGTTCATGTAATATTTTCTTATCTTATAAAATTAATTATTCTTATTTACTCAATCAGCCTGAGAACAAGATTGGCTTATGAATGACATCTGGGCTGCTGTTTTTAGCTGTTGTCAGTCACATTGCGTAAAAAACTTGCTTTGCTCCCCTTATGGCACATTCTGTAAATGCGGAAGAAGCTTTAATACACATGGTGTAATTGTTCTTCATGTGATAGACATAATTCCCTCTGTTACAGTAAATACTGTTTTGGGGCTTGTTTATCCTTTATGACAGATGATAGACCATACATACTATATTTATGTAGTATGTATGGTTATCTGATTATCTTTGATCAGGACATGTCGTTTAAGTCTCACATTAAGGAAATTTCAAGGACCTCCTTTTTTCACCTACGTATTATTGTGAACATCCTGTCTAAAAATGATGCAGAAAATCTAGTCCATGCATTTGTTATTTCTAGGCTGGATTACTGCAATTCCTTATTATCAGGCTGCTCGAAAAAGTCCGTTAAGACCCCTCAGCTGATCCAGAATGCTGCAGCACGTGTTCTGACAGGAACCAGGAAAAGAGATCACATTTCTCCTGTTTTAGCTTCTTTGCATTGGCTTCCAGTAAAATCCAGAATAGAATTTAAAATCATTCTTCTTACCTACAAAGCTCTTAATGGTCAGGCACCATCTTATCTTAAAGAGCTCATAGTACCTTACTACCCCACCAGAGCACTGCGCTCCCAGAATGCAGGGTTACTTGTGGTTCCTAGAGTCTCCAAAAGTAGACTAGGAGCCAGAGCGTTCAGCTATCAAGCTCCTCTCCTGTGGAACTAGGTTCCAGTTTGGGTTCAGGAGGCAGACACCATCTCCACATTTAAGAGTAGGCTTAAGACTTTCCTCTTTGATAAAGCTTATAGTTAGGGCTGGCTCAGGTTAGTCCTGAACCATCCCTTAGTTATGCTGCTATAGGCCTAGACTGCAGGGGGATTTCCTATGATGCACTGAGCTCCTCTCTCCTCTACTTTCTCTCCCTCTGTATGCAACCTCATCCCATTATTGCATGTTACTAACACAACTTCTCCCCTTTCTGGTAGTCTTGTGCTTTCTCGTCCCTCTCCTCTCTCCTCCTATCACTTCCTGCAGGTTTTCTGGCTCTGGAGCTGTGGAGTATGGATCTGTAGTTGCGGGTCACCTGCTGCCCCCGTGTTCCTGCTCGTCCGCTCTCTACTGCAACGACTATTGTTACTAGTCCTATTATTATTATTGTTATTATAATCATTAACATTACGATTGTTACCATTAACACTACTATAAATATCTGTACCATTTTTCATTTAGTTCTATAACAACATCACCTTTACTGTCTGTACCTCTGTGTGTATATTGTGTATGCTGCCTCCCTCCCCTCTCTCTCTCCTTCCATCCCTCTCTTTTTCTCTCTGTTCCTCTCCTGCCCCCCCCCCTCCCCCTCTCTCCCCTTCACCCCCAACCGGTCGAGGCAGATGGCCGCCCACCCTGAGCCATGGTTCTGCTCGAGGTTTCTGCCTCTTAAAAGGAAGTTTTTCCTTGCCTCTGTCGCCTAGTGCTTGCTCTTGGTGGGAACTGTTGGGCTTCTGTAAATAGCATCATAGAGTACGGTCTAGACCTGCTCTTTTATGAAAAGCGCTGTGAGATAACTGTTGTTGTGATTTGGCGCTATATAAATAAAACTGAATTGAAAAATTGAATTGAATTTATGATATTTGTAAAGCAGTGTAATCTATTTTAGAGATATTATATACATCTTCTCCTTATCTGATGGTTCCACATATCCTACATATTACATTACTTACATAAAAGATCAGTTCATTTTTCAGAAAGTAATTCCAGAGAGCAGGCTTCATTTATCTTTAGCAGTTTCTTCATTGCATTCATTTGACATTCATTGACAGTCTATTCGTGACAGGATATTTCATGATTGTTACTGACAAACTCAGGGAAGTTTGATCAATTCTTGGGTACTGCCAGCAGGGTGTGTTTTAAAGGATAGTTACACATAATAGGTACTAGTCACTAATAACATTCTGTCAGGGTTAGAGAAACATATGTAGCCCCTCCTAACTTGCTATCTGCTGCTGACCAGCATTAAGAACCTAGAACTTAACATAAAATGTACAAAGTCAAAGGAACACACAACGTCTTGCTTGAGATGTAACATATCTGTTCCTCCAACAGACCTTTCGGTTTCACGCCCTTTGCCGGCCACCTGATTCTGCTCCACTCTGTGCACATGTCCCTGATTTTCTCATTCACGCACACCATGCCTTCAATTAGCCCCAGCACATATATACCAGCCACTTTATCCACAGTAGGAACACGAGTGCAGCGACAAGGGTGAGAGTCCTCCAGCTTTCAGTCTCAAACACAGCCAACTTTGTTTATGATGTACTGCTATGCAAATATCCAGCAAATGCACAAATACAGACACTGAGAACATTGACATCAGTCTGGCACCTAACTCGAATCCCCCTCCCATCTGCCCAACCACATCATTCACACCGTCCATGAACCCAGTTTGACCATGCAGCATTCTTTTGGGAGCCCCAAGTATCACCACCCGTACTAAAATAAGACCCCTACATTCTGCATGCACGCGCACACACACACACACACACACACACATCCTTTCTCATCCCTGATCTGATATGCAGATGAGTGGCACATGCATGTGTATGTGTGAGAGAGACACAGAGACACTGTTAAACAGAAGAAATAATCTTCTCCAGCCTTTTACTGCATTTTACTAATTTCTATAACGCCAACCAACTTAACTAACATATATTGCTCTGTAGGTGCTGTATCAATTTAGTTTAATAAACTGTTGTCTTCCTGAAGTTGGCAGAGTGACCTTGCTATCCCTACCAGTTCTGAGCACACACTGTGCAGATGTCCTGATCGGTAGGTGTCACAACTGCCACAGCAAGGACATGACAAAGAACCCTTGACCATATCTAACTCACCAACACAAGCGGGAATCTAATATTTTATAAAAATACAAATTTCTCTTTAACAGCAAGGGGGCATGTAGAGAAAGCTGGAACTTGCTGGTGAGGGCTGAACATATTTACATTGAGATTTGATACAAAGTATTTATTCTAATTATATAATAAATACTTTTTTTAATCATGACAATGTATCAAATGATAATGCGAAAGGGGCCACTCTTAGTCATGAAGCCATAGTGAGAATTCTCGCCTGAATCTGCAGGAATATTTTCCACAAGTAAAATTTGCTTCATGCCGTTTACCACACAAAGTACATGTTGAGCTCCCTGTAAGCTCTTTTCTTTAGCTCTCTACCCTATTTTTTATTTTATTACTATCTTAATTCTTCATGTTGCTCTTCTGACACTTCCACCAAAACCAAATCCTTGTAAACATGGTCATGGTGAAAAAAGTCTGATTCTGATTGTGATTGTGAATGCTTGGAACCCCATCCTTTACAATACTTTAAGTTTTAATAAAGTACAACTTACAAAATTATACCAAGTACTTTGTCTTAAATCAAAAAGTCGAATGTTGCAGAATACAGTTCCCTCCAAAAGTATTGGAACGGTAAGGCAAATTCCTTTGTTTTTGTTGTTCACTGAAGGCATTTGGGTTTAAGATCAAAAGATGAGTATGAGACAAGAGTTCAGAATTTCCTGGTATTCACATCTAGATGTGTTAAACAACTCAGGACATACCACCCTTTGTTTGAACCCACCCATTTTTCAAGTGAGCAAAACTATTGGAACATGTGACTGACAGATGTTTCTTGTTGCCCAGGTGTTGCCTTTTAGATTGATTGTCCAAACATTAAATAGCTAAGTTTTCATCCTTGGTTCAAACCTATAAAGACTGCATTTCCTGTTAAAGAGGATAAACCCACATGAAGACCAGAGAGCTGTCTATGGGAGAAAAGCAAGCCACCGTCAAGCTGAGAAAAGAAGGAAAATCGAGCAGAGCCATTGGACAAACATTGGGCATAGCAAGCACGACAATTTGGAACGTCCTGAAAAAGAAAGAAACTACTGGTGTACTGAGCAACAGACGTCCAACAGGAAGGCCAAGGAAAACAACAGTAGTTGATGACAGAAATATGGTGAGAGCTGTGAAGAAAACCCCCAAAACATCAGGAAGTGACATCAGCAACAACCTCCACAGTGCAGGGTGAAGGTATCACAATCCACTGTTGGAAGAAGACTCAGAGAGCAGAAATATAGAGGCCACACCACAAGATGCAAACCACTCATCAGCAGGAAGAATCGGAAGGCCAGATTGAAATTTGCAAAGAAGTACAGAGATGAGCTGCAATAGTTCTGGAACATGATCTTATGGACGGATGAGACCAAGATTAATCTCTAGCGTAGTGATGGAAAGGCCAAAGTATGGAGAAAGAAAGGAACTGCTTCTGATCCGAAGCATGGTGGAGGTAATGTCATGGCTTGGGTGTGCATGGCTGCTTCTGGAACAGGCTCATTAATATTTATTGATGATGTAACTGATGATGGTAGCAGCAGAATGAATTCAGAATTCAATTCACGGAGAAATGCACTGAAACTAATGGGGAGGAAGTTTATCCTGCAGCAGGACAATGACCCAAAGCACACTGCCAACAAAACAAAGGACTTCATCAGGGGAAAAAGTGGAAGGTTTTAGACTGGCCAAGTCAATCAGCTGACTTTAACCCAACAGAGCTGCATTTCACCTCCTCAAGAGGAGACTGAAGGGAGAAACACCCCGAAACAAACAAGAACTGAAAGAAGCTGCGGTAAAAGCCTGGAATAGCATCACAAATGAAGAATGCAACAGTTTGGTGATGTCGATGGATCGCAGGCTTGAGGCAGTTTTTGCAAGCAAGGGTTATGCCACCAAATATTAAATGTTATTTACTTTAAGATTATTTGTTCCATTACTTTTGCTCACCTAAGAATGCTGTGGTCTAATACAAACGCTGATATATGTCCTGAGTTGTTTAACACATCTAGATGTGAATACCAGGAAATAAAAGCTGAAATTCTGAACTCTTGTCTCATACTCAACTTTTGATCTTAAACCCAAATGTCTTCAGTGAACAACAAAAACAAATGAATTTGGCTTACCGTTCCAATACCTTTGGAGAGGACTGTATATAGTAGTAGTAGTACCCCTCCTGCGTTAAGACACTCTTACTTGATTGAGCATCTCCTCTCATGCAAAGTTAAAACACGTTTATAAAGTGTTTAAAATACTTTTTTCACATCAGGGGAATTAATCAGCAGTATGAGACTGTGCAGTTTTGAACTGTCCGTTTAGTGGACTTGATGAGCAGACTTGTAGCCTACATCTCCAGGTTTATTAAAACGGAAAAATGATGATGTCTAGTCCTGACATCATCAGCCTCAGGGATGCAGCCGAGCGCACGTAGGCAGTCTACTGGTAGACTACTACTTACAATCAGGGGAGATCAGCAACAATAACATGTTATAGTTACACTATCCGGAGGCTACGCGTTTCTAACAGAGAAGGTTATTATACTAGACGTTTATATCGGCTATTCGGAACGTAAAGCGCGCTATTCTGCTTTGCTTCCAGCCTACCTGTTACTCTGGCGGTCACGAAACACACTCCAAAAAGGCAGAAACAGATGCATGTACACCACCATTTTTTGAAGGAGTGGGGGTCACACGGTAGCCTACCTGCTGAGGTGCTGTTTCACTCGTACATAAATCGCGTGTGGCGTGTACCCGCTTCAGTCGCTGTCTGTATACCGGTGCAGACAGAAACCCCGCCTCACCCCGCCCCCTCCTGCATAAATGAAACATCTTCTAATGGGACCTCTGCCACTGTCTAATTTTGATGCATTTTGCCACTTGCATCTAATTGGAATTAATTTGGCAACAAGCATATACAGAGAGGCCTATACTCACACAGTTTCTGAAGAAAACGGAAGCAACATCAGAGCAGTGATTCACCAGGCCGTTAATGAGGTTAAGACTTAAGATAGTGGCATTTGCCCTGGTGGTCCCAATTTCTGCTTAATGTTTACACTCCATTATGATGATAATAACCTCAACCTTAGAATATGGCACCCCCCCTGAACTAAGCACGTGTTTATAAACAGTCCAGCTGACAGTTCACTATTGCCCCTTTTCCACTGCATGGTACCAGCTCAACTCGCCTCGTCTCCACTCGCCTTGACTTGGCTCGCCCTTTTTGGTATTCCACTGGGAAAAAGTTGTACCTATACAGGCTTCCTGGTACTTAGAAAGCTGAGTTGAGCTGAGGCAATACTAAAATGTGACGTGAAAACACTGCAGACTACTGAGAGAATCGTCACTTATCACTGCATTATCATTGCACATGCCAGACAGGGGCCATCAACATAAGGTTTTATATTTCGTACATTATTTCATTACTAAATACACTTCTGAGAAGTTTTGAGGCAATAAATTAACTGTGTAGATTTTGAATATTGGCAGTTTTACGAAAATTGAAGTCGGATCAAAAATGTGCTGTTTTTTGAGTTGAGCTGCCGAGCTAACGAGTCGCTAAGCCAGTCACCTCACAGACCGCTCTGGTCCCACAGTCACAAAAACCACTGCAGACAACTCCAGACTTTTGTACCACTTATTTGTCTTGAAACATTTAACTTATCAAGACAGCTAATGTGTGTGAGTAGCGTGTGTGTGCGTTGAATATTACATTAAGGTAGTTGTGTGTGGCGTTGCTTTGATGACCAGCTACATTACTATCTCTTCCGTGAAGAAAGTAAAAAAAAGTAAAATGAAACGTCACACTCACAACAGTTAGTTAAAGCTGTACTTTATACTGTTTATTAGCACTTCTGTGTACTTGTGACTCATATAAATGTTCGTGCACAAAGTGCTGTCCAACAGCTGTCTGTGGACGTGTTGCTACAGTGTTTAGTGTGAGTAAATTCCGCACAATCAGTTTTTTTAAATCAACCGGCGTATCATTAGCTAACCTGACTAGTAAACAAACAACTGGCTGAGCGACGTTTTCCAACTTGTTAACTGGAAAGCCGTCAACTCGGGTGTGACGTCATTCCCAGCTCCGACCTGCGACTTCCGAGGTAAATGGAACGCAGCATTAAGTGTGGCTTAGTCATGCGGCAAAACCCTGGATATATCTGCGGCTTCAGTGACTGCCGGGCACACATTCACACAGGTATAGTGTTGCCTGGTTTTAGTTGTGCTCTTAGATAAAACAGAACAAAGTAAACCGGGTTTAATAAATTCCAGAATTTCATTTTAGTGCAGTAGGACCAGGAAGCATTGTCTATCTCTGTAGCTGGGGAAGAATTTGACAGACGTACGGTTGCCATGGAAAACATTTGCATCAGAGGAACGAGCAAAGTGTTCAAGTTGGCGTTAACGTTACTTAACGTCAAATTAATCTCTTAAATTGTTATTATCTAAGCGTGATATGTATGTTTGGCCGCTAAATGTCGTGTTGACTGTGAAGTAACGTTAGAACATTACGAGCTCAAACGGCTGCCTACTCATTCTGCAGAGGCCTACCGTCGAGTGCCACGTTAAAGCTTCTGTATCATGGTAAGTTAGGCAAACTAAGTGCATGTTCATTTAGTGTGTTATCTGTTAACGGTAGTAATAGTTTGTAAAGTACATGTTTTTTTAATACATCAATTATTAGACAATTATACAATCATCAAATATTTTGTTGTTTCTTGTGGAAACCAAACAGTTAACTCTAAACTCGGATGCTTGTTTACCAGCCAGCTTTAACATTACCCACATAAGATAGACAAGACAAGTTTATTTGTATAGCACATTTCAGCAACAAGCAATTCAAATATAAGCAACATAGGGAAATGAATATAGTCACGTCAGGTCACATCTGGTTCTAAAAAAAACAAGATAGTGACGGCCATAATGCCAAACCCAAGGCTTCAGAACGGTAGTCTACACACGCATTCAAGGTGGCTACGACCACTTCTTTTATACAGCCTTTTATACGTTCTGCTTCCTGAACACTTTGTTGACGTCCATCTCCAGGATGGAGAAAGTTGTTGTTGTGGTGGGAAAGGGTGGAGCATCTGGTGTGGGCAGTTGTGGACCATCCCATTGACTTTCAAAGCAACAGTAGAACTTATTCAGAGGGCTGTTTCACAAAAGCAGATTGTAGAAATCCAGGATAACAGATAAAGCAAGGCTTGACCTAGTGTGAGCAGTGTATCCTGGCTTTATCAGTTTCACAAAGGCCAAACCAGGCTCAGTAGGAGCGACTATTTCAAGCCAGGTTCAATCCCCCACTGTGATCTATCCACCATTGTGTCTCAAGCAAGACACTTAACCCCTAGTTGCTCCAGAGGCGTGCGACCTCTGACATATATTGTAAGTCTCTTTGGATAAAAGCGTCAGATAAATGTAAATCTTGGTTTTGTGAAACAGCCCACAGGCTACATCCACACTATGTTTTTGTTGTAAAACTCCGGGGTAGTGTATTAGTGTGGACAAGTGAAAACAGAGGACTTTGGAAACAATGACACAGACACTCATGTTTGGCTTCCTGATTGGGTCTTATCAGTCATGCAAAGCAAAAAACACAATGGTACTGAGTGTGTTTTTGTTTTTAATTTAATTAATATTTTGTACTGTGCAAATAACACACACTTGCACCGTGCATGTTGCCGTATTTTCAGTTGTTTTAATATAAACCGAAATCTATTCTGATACTGTGCTAAAACGCTGGTGTGGACATTTAAAACTCTGTTTTACAACAAAAACTTCCAGGTTCCAGGTGCAAGGCGTTAGTGGAGTGTTGTGCTTTAGGTTTTTAGTTGGTGATCGGCTGAGCCCTCTCCAGAGAGAAGATCCTTTTTCCTCTTGCGACCTTAGTCTGTGAACCAGTGTTGTAACTCACCTGGTGTGTGGTGCCCTATATTGTGGTTCCTAGGTGTACTGCGGTTCCACCATGCAGTCAGAAGAGGACAGTGGAATAGGAAACCTAGAGGCCCAGCTGGCCTGTAAAGAGAGGGAGTGGAAGGAGCTCCAGGCTGCAAGGTTTCACCAACTGGAGAATTCCCTCAAAAAGGCCCAGGAGGAGTGGTCTTCCCTCAGGTACCACGTCTACGTCCACCTCACATCAGAATAACAGTAAATGTGAACTTCAACTATGTGCCTCAGCTTTTAGTAGGAAATAATATAATAATAATTTCATGTAAAGCACACTGACTTTACTTGTTACGAAAGGTAAATATAAATAGAATTGCCTTACGTTAAGTGTGAAAGTTTAATAATCAAGTCTCCAGTAAACTGAAATTATATCTTTTTGGCATGACACTAGTTTAAACATTTGAACTTTTAACTCTCATTTCAACATCAACACCTGTTGAGGAATCTATCCATGCAGATAGCTTTGGTTTTATTTATACAAGTTTTGAAATATGTGTCAAAGATATCTGCCTCCAACCCAATACAATGGAGGTCTATGAATTATCAAGAGTAACCAGCACGTTGTATCTAGAATAACCCATTGCCATTGCATGCTATTGAAATGTTTAAATGTTTGTTTTTCAATTTCATCCACCTCCATTGTATTTGGGTAGTGGCAGATATCTCAGAGAAAATATGGCATAAGTAAATATGTGACAAAATGTGTTTTTTTTGAACGATAGACTCAGAAACAGCTTTATTGGCCAAATATTTTTACGCATAAAAGGAATTTCATTCTGGTGTCCAATGTACTTACACAAACAGTTCCAAGAACATTGGGCCTCATGCAAGAACCAATTGCATGAGTATATTCGTTCTTAAGCAGGATGCACAAATTATTCAATTCAATTCAATTCAATTTTATTTATATAGCGCCAAATCACAACAACAGTTATCTCACAGTGCTTTTCATAAAAGAGCAGGTCTAGACCGTACTCTCTAATTATGTAAAATAGTTTGTTTTCTCATACTTTTCTCTTGCTGTAGGTGTGAACGAAAGACTTTTATGTTTATGAATGTTTAAATATGTTTCTTTTTTCACCTGCTTGTATGAATGTAATAGTTAAAAATGTTTGTTTGACGTTGTTAACCTTTTTTTTAGCTGTGTGTCTCTGTCTTACTGAACAATTGGGCCTCATGCAAAAACATTTTTAATTCTAACCTTAAATCTTAAATCTCTTTTTCTGTTAGGTTTGTTCATACAAGTGTTCCAAATCAGATTCACCAAACTCTCTTAACTAGACAAACTTGTTGTAAATCACTTGTTTCAGGCTGATGAATGTCACCTGTACCACTACTACTTTTTAACGTTTTTGTATTTCAGTGTGAACATTGTGTTGGCTCCTTCTCCCTCTGAAGTTCCTTCAAACCAAATATTGTGATCTATAGATTTTTCTTCTGGCCACTCACTTGCATTTGGTCAATGTAACTATTATCGGCCGGATTTCAAACTACGATGAGACTTTATATTGGGAGGAAATTCATAATCTTGTAGAGTGGTGCTCAGAGAACAACATGCTGCTCAGAGAACAACATGCTGCTCAACATCAACAAAACTAAGGAGCTGATCATTGATTTCAGGAAGAAGGAGATACAGACACACACTCCTGTCTACATCAGTGGTGCTGATGTGGAGCAGGTGAACAGTTTCAGGTTCCTGGGAATCAGCATCACAGAGAACCTGACATGGTCGTCTCACATCTCCACACTGGTGAAAAAAGCTTAGAAACGACTGGATTTCTTGAGGAAGCTTAAGAAGGCCAAATTCCCACGCCAAGTTCTTGTCAGCTTTTACAGAGGAGCAATAGAAAGCATCCTGACTAGAAGCATCATAAAGCATCTTTCCTCTCTTTCTTCTCTAATGTTTCCTCCGGCTTGTCCGCTTGTTTTGACAGGAGATGTCTGGCTGGTGGTGCAGTTAGTTAGTGATCAGTCTCTGGAGCCGCACCTCCATCCCAATAGTGGGTTTGAATCCTGCAGCTGGCACCAGTGTTAACTGGTTTTAGCTTTAAACATCTGTATCCTATGGTGTTTGTACTTAATCGTAACAGACTAAATATGGAGGGATGGACTTAGCCTGCTCTATATCACCCTGTGCCTCAGAATTCCCATGGCGGTGAAGAAAGTTTTGTTAAAATTTGCTAATAAGTCTCCTATTTGTTTGAAACACAAAAGTTACTTTGTGATTTATGTTTTGTTAAACGTGTCTGCTTAGAATATAGTGTTTTTTGTTGGTAATTGTCATTCTTGTGGTGGTTTCCTATTGAAACCAGGAGTGAAGTGCCAGATAAAGAGACAGTCCTCAGAGTACTACTTCTTGTGCATGACATTGATTTGAGTCATGATATATTAATATTAAAGCTTGCAAATTTACAGAGCTGTAAATGTGGAGTCCTTACTGACTTTCAGGGGTTACTTTCAAAATTCTATGGTGTCAGTCTTTTTAATTGCAATCATTATTAACATGATATTAAGTCTTTCACAGCACAATTCTTTGGCTGTTCATTCATTTTATTCTTCAACAGCGGAGTAGCCATCAGAGAAAATATGTTTATAAGCAAAACATGCCTTCATTGGTGCTTAGGAGCCATTTTTTGTCAGAATAAGACATGATTGACAAAGAGACTTGAAAGCCTTCCCTTCACAGTGTATCTGAGTAGTCCGGAGGTGGAGGTCTTGCTCTTGCTCCGGATCCAGAGATTGATGGACAAAACCCTGCTCACAGCATGTTAACGAAAAGGGGGCCAAACTTAACACATATGTTTGCTGAACAAGTGTGCAGCACATCATTGAGTCTCTTAGCTGATGGAGCCGCACCGACAGAGGTAGCAATTGCAAAAAATAGCTGGCAGCCCTCACATGCATTTTCTTAAGGAAATGCCCATTCTAGTGATTAATGTATTTCTGTCATAGGTGATCATAGTTTCCGTTTTAAAAAAAAAAGAGAAAAAAAGATTAAAAACAAATATATATAGCAAAAATTAAGGGCTACTGGTCGCTGCGTTGACACGCACTGCCGTTGCCATGGAGAAAAAGATTATAAGGAGGTGTAGGGAGGTTCGGCCTGCGTTGATGAGTCAAACCTGTTGAAAAACTGGTTTAACTCATTGGAGTCTCCCTTTATCACCTCTACTGCTCCTTCTGAGAGCTGTATCAGATTTGCTGTGGTTGGGAGGCGCTGTATGCCTCCAAACATTTGCATACATTAAGACCAAAGTCTCATCCCTGCTGTAGGTTACATTCTGTGTGATGTTAAAATGGGTATGATTGTGGAGCATTTGAAGCAGGGGGGACTTCACACTGCTCTAGTGATCTGTTGAAGATTTGTGTAAAGGCAAAGTGTCTTTCTTTTTGAGCTCAGTAACCTTTAATTCATAATTTTTAACTTAATTTGTCAGTGAACGCCACCTGCAACTGAGGGAAGATTTCCAGTTCAACCTGGCCATCCTGGATGAAAGAGACAGAGAGCTGGAGAGATATGATATCATATTTGCCAAAGCTTTGACTGTGGAGCACAACAGGTACAATTCATCTTAATACAAACTCGTGGAAGGTATAGTTCATGTGTGACATTTAGAAAAGACTGTAAAATAGCAATAGACCATAACAAAATATAATTAATGAATTAATTATGCACATGTATTCACTGTAAGTGCAAATTGTGCCAAATCTGTGGTGGTGAGTTTGACTGTGACAGTTAATCCAATCCTGACATATGACTAGGCTTACCCAGAAACTGTTCAGTGGTTTTAACTGACAGTTATGAAGCTTTTCATTCAAGTTTTTGCACTGAAAGTGTCTTTTTGTTATCTGAAATGCACTTAAAATCAAATGTAATATTATTTATTTAGCAATGTTATCAAATTGATTCATGATCTGGTAATTGACAAATTGATCAATCAACTGATCATCTTGGCAGAAGCAATAATTTAATTTTTCTGTTCCTTTGTTGATTTTCAAGTACATTGGATTTTTCTCATATACTGCTACATGGCAAAAGCACTGTGCTGATAGCATGCAGGCTGGGTGACTTTGTGAAACCAGTGCTCCCCTTGTTAATGCATTGGTAATGGCCCCAGCAAATACAGTGACTGTCTGAAAAGCTGGTGTCACTTACAGGCAGGAGGAACTGAATCAGCTCCGTATGCATGTTGGCAGACTGGAGGAGCAGAGAGCCAGAGAGATCGAGGAGAGGCAGGAAGAGCTCAATAAAAGTGCTGCTCAGTACAGGCTGCAGCTGGATGAGCTCAAGCGGTGAGTTGGGGGAGGAAACTGAGAACCTAAAGGTCAGCTTTCTGAATTGAACCAGGATGATACATTGTTTTAATTATTCAACTGGTCTGGTTTGTGTTCACAAAGGCAAAACTCAAATGATCCAGAAATTGTAAACATACGCCATGTGATGGAACGAATCTGTGTATTGTTCATTCTTTGAAGATTCTGTTTGAAAACTGAATTGTTTTTTTACATTTTAAAACCAGAACAACGTCTGCCTCCCTCCCCAGATTCCTCACACATTCACAAACATAGCCTATTCCTTTTCAAGTTGCGTCTCATATCTACTGTGGTTAAGATGACTGTATAAGTGAGCACTACATTAAATTACTTACTTCACATCAAACTGGGTTCAATCTACACCAAAAATAGTAGCCTCTACTATCTACTGGCTATTTGCTTTGCCTGCATGCCACTGTATCCAGTCATATATGAATTAACAACGTCAGTGTCCAGGTAACATTTTGTTTAGAGCTGATCTAAAACAACTGGTTACCTGAGCGGTCTTAGACGTTTATTAAGTGAAGACACAAAGCAACTTCCTGGTTACACAAATCGAACTCCTTAAATATCAAAATCAATATTTTTAATACATATATTTAATACAGGAAAACAAAAAAGTCTGATATTTTTACTTTCTGTTTTTCCGTTCTGTTTTTAAAGGTTCAGTGTGTAATATTTCTGAGGATTTATTGACAGAAATGCAATATAATATCCATTACCTTAGAATGAGCCATTTTTATCTACATAATCGCGGGTCCCCCCTTCCATGGACGTCACCATGTTGCGTCATGTTTCTACAGTAGCTCAAAACGGACAAACAGCACTACAGAGCACAGAGTTTCATCATTACGTTCTTCTTGTTCTACTTCTGGTAGAATTCAGGCAGTGTAGACACTACCTTGAATACGTATGTTAGAAGAAGAAGTAGTAATAATATACAGCAGGGGTCGGCAAAAAAGTTTTGCATCCGAGCAATATTTTCAACCATTAGAGAATATAAGACATAATATTCACTACTATCAACATGGTGTTTGGTTAGCTCAGTCGGTAAAGTGCATGTCTCACACCCTGAGGGTTGTGAGTTTGGGGACACCTTTTTTTTTCTCTCTCTTCAACAAATGGATTCTGCAGCGACTGCTTCTCACATTACGGCACATGTATCATTTCCTCAGTATCTGCAGGCAGAGGACATTTAGGGGAATCACGTTTTCTGATGGCTTTTTCAGAGGTGTGTCAAGCAGGCAGCAGACTCTTTTAATATCGTTCAGAACTTTTCAAAGTAAAAGCTCAGTTCAACCCCAACTACAGCATTACAGTAAACAAGCTAATTGCGCTTTTATTTTGTCGGCAAAACCACTAAAGAGGAAGTGATTATGTGAACTGTTGCTGTCATGACTGAGATGTATTTCAGTACCGCTATCAAATTATTTATTAATTTATATTTTTTGCCGCTATCAAAGCATCATAATTTACATTTACATTACATTTACTCATTTGGCAGACGCTATTATCCAAAGCGATTTACATTTGAGGAACAACATACAATCATTAACGGAGCATAAAATACAGCACGAGATCTACAATTGACAATACATATTAATAAAAGCAGCAATAAATACTAGTAAGCGCTAATGGCACATATCGCATCAATGGGGTAAATACCTAGGGAAAGAAGTTAGAGTTAACAAAAAGTGCAATCAATACAAGATAATTGTAGGGGATAGAAGAAGAAGAGCACAGGAAGTGCATGTTAAGAGTTAGAGGTGTTATAAGAGTAAGTGTTCTCGGAAGAGATGAGTTTTCAAGAGCTTCTTTAAGTTAGAGAGGGACGCCCCTGGTCTGATGGCGTGTGGTAGCTCGTTCCACCATCGTGGTGTCACAGATGCAAACAGCCGGGACTGGGATTGCTTTGTGTGAAGGGATGGCAGAGCCGGGCGGCGTTCGTTGGAGGAGCGTAGTGGACAAGAAGGAACCTAAACTTGTAGTATGGAGTTTAGGTAGATGGTTGCAGACCCTGTAGTCACTCTGTATGCAAGCATTAGTGACTTGAATCTGATTCTGGAAGCCATGGGTAGCCAGTGGAGGTCACACGGCAATGGAGTGACATGCGTCCTTTTGGGCTGATCAAAGACGCGCTGCTGCGTTCTGAACCATTTGTAGGGGTTTCACCACACAAGCTGGAAGACCCGCTAGGAGGGCATTGCAATAGTTGAGGCGAGAGGTAACCATGGCCATAGGTAACCATGGCCATACCAACTATAATCTGGCCATGGGCCGGATATTATTGCTGGCGGGCAGTAAGTAAATATAGCACTTTGAGATTTCCCTGAAATGTAAAGTGCATTATAAATAAAATTTATTATTATTATTATTATTATTATTATTATTATTAATTTCTTAATAAATTTACCTTAAATAACCTAATATTTTGGCTGGCTACTCTCTGCTGTGTCAGAAGAGACACCTTTTGTGCTGTGTCAGCCACCGTAGCTGTCCTATGCTCTTTGAAAGGGTAGGGGGCAGTGGTAGACTGGAAAGTTGGATCTTGTTTTTTGTTTTTGTTTTCGGAATCAGTTTTGAAACTGAATAATCAAAGAACAAGCAAACAAATGAGAAAAAAAGTTTATTACCAATGAAATGACAATCCGTGTATGGATCGTTCTTTCATTATTCCGTTTCAAAACCATATCGAAAAAAAAACAAGTAGTTTTTTGTTTTTTCTGTTTTAAAACCAAAACGGAAAAATGGAAAAACACTAAACAAATAAACAGACATCTGTTTTGTTTTTCTGTTTCAAACCCATAACCGAAAACAAAGGAACTCAGGCATGTTTGTATTTTTATTATTATAATTATTAGGGCCCGAGCACGACCGTGCGAGGTCCCTATTGAATTTGCTCGGATTTTTTATTTTATTTTATTTTTTTACATACTCGAAAACTCACCAAAATTTGCAAACATGTCAGAACCGGTGAAAAATTTCGTATTCTACAAGTTTCGCACATGGGCGTGGCAAAATGACTCGCTAGCGCCACCTAGAAATTGGAAATGATTAGCCCCTCGTTCACGTTCAACCTACATGTACGAAATTTTCTGGGGACATGTATCGTATCAAGACGCACAAAAAAGCCTCAAGAACCCATAGCCTAAAGTAAACAGGAAGTCGGCCATTTTGAATTTTATGGCCATTTTTGGATGATTTACACACTTCGTACTTTAACGAACTCCTCCTAGGGATTTAGTCGGATCGACGTCAAATTTGTGCTGTGCCTTCTACAGGCATTGACGATGAAAAGTTGTGCTATTTGCGAGTTTTCGTCAATGGGCGTGTCCGTGGCGTCGATGATTCGCCATGAAACAGGAAGTTGTTGTAACTTCAGTGTACATGCTCACATCTGGACCAAACTGTACATGTAGGATGAGAGTCCCGCCCTGAACACATGTACATGCCGACATTCACCCACAGTCATAGCGCCACCTGCTGGCAACAGAAAGTGACCTTTAACGAAGCAGCCCCCGCCGCACGTTTCACCTACGTGCACGAATTTTCTGTGGTACGTGTATCTTGTCCAGACGCACAAAAAAGTCTCTTGGAGCCATAGCCTAAACCCAAAAGGAAGTCGGCCATTTTGAATTTTACGTCAAATTTTGGATGATTTACACACTTCGTACTTTAACGAACTCCTCCTAGGGATTTAGTCCGACCGACCTCAAATTTGTGCTGTGCCTTCTAAAGGCATTGAAGATGAAAAGTTGTGCTATTTGCGAGTTTTCGTCAATGGGCGTGTCCGTGGCGTGGCGTCAAAGATCAAGTCTTCGCCATGACACAGGAAGTTGTTGTAACTTCAGTGTGTATGCTCACATCTGAACCAAACTTTACGTGCTTGACAAGGGGTCATCTTCTCTGTTATTGGTGGACCAGTCAGACAGGAGAGCTCCTACTCTGCCTGCAGACATCAACGATCTTGCCCCTCACACAGTCAGATGGCTTCCTTCAGTGCGCTGAGGTGTTTAACAACTCTGAAGACAATACTACCAGCAATGGCTTCCTTCTCTTTTCATGTAGACGCTCCAACAGACAGTGCTATCAGTTTGCTGCATGCATGGACACAGAACTGCGGTATAGGGAGAAGCACACGGTCAGCTGGCTGCAGCTAAATCTGGAGTGCACTCGTATTCAATTCTGTATGGTAAATTCAGTTTTAACGGAGCAGAGCGTGCTGACAGGCAGAGTTAGAGACTTTTTCTGTCCGTTTCTCTCTTTACAAAGACGCATGTTGCAGTCAGAGTCTTCTCTGAGATGCGAGCACGACATACAACACAATTTATCAAATTACACAACGGATATACAGTATGAAAATAAGATTGATTGGATTATACTCACAGGAAGTATAAAACCTGTTAAATGTGTCTATTAAAAGTAAAGTAACACAAAAATGTCAGGGAAATTACTTTACTTAGATTTCAGGACTGCAGTTGTACATTTGAAATACCTTCCTACCTTTCTGATAGGAAGCCTTCTTGAGGTGGTATAAAACATTTCTTCTTATATTCTGATTTGAGTTGTGGACAACTATGACCACATGAATTAAAAAAACATTTCACTGCCCAAGTCAGCTATAACACAAGTCTTGTTCATCAGACTACATGCTGTACAGTATTTGACTACAGATTTTGTCCCACGATTTATTATGCATTTCTTCTTCTTCGTTGCATGATTTAGAATAATAAGGTGAGAAATGGGTCTATTCTGAGTTCATCCTTCACTGCAGCAGCTAATAAAGTCCATTTAATCCCAAAAACGCTTTTCTTTTAGGCAGGCTGGAGCAGAAAACAACTCACCTTTCTCAAGTTGTACAGTAATGTCACATGTGTATGAAGGTGGATCAAACAAGCTAATCTTAAATGTCAGAGTAGAGAGGAGCCTAGTAGGCCTATTTATTTTCATTCATTACACAATATGAATAAGCTATGCAG